CTAGTTTCTGCTTCTCATAGCGAAACTCAATCATTAGTTTATAAAACTTTTATCCGTTTTCTTCTCGAAAGGTCTGGTGTTTTCATAGTTTACTTTAATCTCATTCTTTGCGATGGAATGCCATGAAAATAGCTGAGAGAGAGAGAGAGAGAGAGAGAGAGAGAGAGAGAGAGAGTAACGACATAAATAGATGCCCAACAAACATAACTATCTGGATGTTTGGGAATGCAATGGGAATGCAAATGACTAATAAAAGTTAATTTGCAGAAATTGCCAAAATTGATGAGAAAGTGAGAGATATTGTCAAATAAAACGGAGTTTTATAAATTGACTACAAAATAGTATTTTCACGTAATTTTTAAAACCACTTTTAAAAATTAAATTCTGCCTTTTTCTATTCACACACATGTTTGTCTAAATCATTTGTTTATATATTTTTAATTTTGTAAATTAAATGCAAATTTTATGATACGATACAAACACTGTAAGTATTATATCAAATTAGTATACATTTATTGCATCTAAATTATGATATTTCAGATATAATTAATTGATTTCCCAATAAATGTATGCATACATTTTATGCATAATATTTAATAATTTTAAGTAAACATAAATACTTGTATAAAATAATAATATATAAAGAAACTTGTATAAAAATACTATAATAATAAATAATTATTATAAAATATTATACCATACCAATCAAATACTACAAACAAACAGTTTTAATTAAAACATTTATGTGAAATATTCTTATTATACGTATATTAATGAACAAAATGAATATTGTTTGCACCAGAATATAATATATGATGTGTAATTTTGTATAACGATAAGTCCCTACACCAGTAACCATACGACTAGTATTGACTTAATCTCTATACTAAATAGTATGCAATCAATTAATCATAGAAAATAATTTCCATAAAACTATTTAATGTTATATTTAATCCCGAAATTGTATGATATTTGCTACAGTTACACAATGATATACAAATGAATTCATAGAAAAGTATTAATTTATTATAAATCAAATTAATTTAAATGTGCAGATGTTTTTGAAGTTCAAAACACAATCAATCAATGTTTTACACATTTTTATTAAAAGCCATAGGAGTTCAAAATATACACTAAATTCAATTTATTGTTTCAATATTTTGCATAATTTATGTTTTAATGGATATCTAACTACAGGTATAATTAAATTAAATTTATAACATAATTATACAAATATGCTAATATTTTCAATGGCGTTTATTTATGCAATATTTATTTATTTCAATTGAGTATTAAAATGACAAATAAAATCAGTCGCGAAAATCAATTGATCGGAAGGTTTTTAAAGTGGTTTAACAGATAAGGTTGTGAACAGATTTAATGAGTTGAACACAAATATAAATATATATTTTAGTCACACGTTTGGAGTCCGAGAGTGTGAGTGCATATGACGTGCAAATGATCACCACATTAGACCAGTATTTAATTTAAAGTGCATTTCGCTATTCAAATGAATACAAAAAGTGTTTTGTGTTTAAAGCGGAACTTAATTCCAAATCGTTAAGTAAAGTCACTGCAAATCTCTATGCGATAACTGGTGTGCACTCCGGCCTCCACTCTCACACACCAAACACCATATAATAAATCTATTGATTTTTGTCTCTCTGTGTCCTTAATGTATGCACCGATAGCTCACGAAAGAGAGAGAGAGAGAGAGAGAGAGAGAGAGAGAGATGACTAAAACCCGTAGAATATTATAGCGATAGACAGATATATACAGAGTATATGTGTATTACTGTATAAGTCTTAGTTTCGCGAGTGCTTTGGCTTATGTTTAACTTTTGTCGATGACATCTATTTTCACAACAAATTAGTGATGAGATTAAATACTGACAGTTGAGACACCGGGAGGACAAGGACTCGAGCAAAAAAAGAGATTCCGAATCGCTTTCCAAGAATCCAATTGAATATAAATTATTTTGTGAGAAAAATTTGTTTGAATTCATTACCAAAGTAATTGATATTAATTTTTTTGCGTTCACCCAAAAGAGATCCGTATATAGATTTAGATAAGTATTAACTTATATACACACTGGCAATGTATTCATGCGATCAGATATTCATTTATTATCTATATTTTTAGCGATTCAGAGACTCGCGAATGATTTATAAGTGTTTTAATTTGAAAATCTTTTTTTACTTTCAAATAGATTTATGTCATATAATGTAAGAATAAATTAATTCCTTCACGTCTTTAAGCGAATGAAACAAATGGCAAAGAATTTTGTGACAAAATTGTTTTTTTGGTGCCTTTTTATGACTGATATTTGCCTTTTTGTTGTTTCATTCACACAATTGATAGCCCATAGAGAGTGTACTCCAACTGTATGGGTAAGAGTGAGCGAAAAGTGTAGACAAAACAAAAGAAATTTTTTGAAACACTTCTCTCTATTTCGCACAAAACTCCTTCACAACTGTTTTTTTTGTGTTTACACTTAAAATCGATTTATTACTCGTAAAAGCTGTCGAAGAATTTGCTGAGAATTAGTAATTCTTGATGTTTAGTGTTTTGGATTCATTGAATTGCAATCGTGTCATATATTTTCTCCATTAATCAATCTTTCCTTTTTTGGATACGGCTTTTGAACATTAGAGTCAAGTCCTCCTCTCCCCTCCTAACACACACTTTTCATAGTCTCCCTGTGCTCTCACTCTTTCTATCGCACCAACACTTTCCTATCAGCACTTCATTGCATTCAAAAATCCGGAGCGAAAATCTTTCTCTCAATTTTTCACACAAAACACCATTGAATGCATGCAATCATTAGTTGCCTATAAATTAGTTGCCAATCATTAATGTATTCATTAGTGAATAGGAGTTTTTCGGGTATATAAATGATGCTTGAGTTTCTCTCTCTCTCTCTCTCGCTCTCTCTCTCTCTCACACACACAACACACAAAAGCAAAGAAATATATTTTTAATTTATATAAACATCACCGAAAAAATTTATTCTTTACATTTCGTATAACTCTTATAAAACATATCATATCTTATTAAAAGAGCGGAATATTTATGACAAAAAGTTTATGTCATATTCAATAATCGCTGATATTATGTACGAAATGTCAACAAAGAGAGGAAATGCAAACAAATCAACGGAGAGTACGAGTGTTGAGAGGGGGAGAGGGAGTGGGAGAGAGTGGGCTGACAGACAGAGAAGTGTAATAAATTTGGGTTCAAATAGAGAATTAATATTAATAATAAAACACGAATTATTTGCGAGAGAGTGCCGTATATTTGAATCGATTTACACGAGTTGTGTATTGAAAAGCACACGATTTGGTTGAGAGATAGAGAAAGACATGACATAAATATTCTGTATTTAAAAACAGAATAAGAAGAATGAGTGCAGAGAGAGAGAGAGAGAGAGAGAGAGAGAGAGAGCAGAAATTCCTTATTCTTATTCCTTGTATTCGCCAACATTTGAATGAATGTCTATTTCTTATACTATGCTTTTGTTGTGTAAATAATGTATCGCAGATTCCTATGCTTTTTATACTCATCTCTGCTTCACAACACTGATGAACAGCTCTCTCTCTCCCTCTCTCTCTCTCTCTCTCTCTCCATGGTTTTCAGTCTCTCTCCACAAATATTTTATTCCATGTCCTCTATTATTCACAATCTATTTACAGTGGAAAAACTTCTCATAGTTTTCGTTAAATAATTCGTATGAAAGAAAAAAAGTTTCGCTTAAAAACGGAATAATATTTTATTCACTAATGAAATGCTATAGTATTTCATGTCTGACGCAATCCACGCAAATAAGTCTTTTTTTGTGTGACTAAAGACGACTCCTATTTGTGAGTCGCTATCATCTAAAAGACATTTGAGACGCTCATCACCACTACTGCACACCAGCGTTAACTACATCCCTATCCCTGTCTTTTTGCCTTTTTATCTCTTTTACAGGTTTTGCGTCTATTAAAAAATGAGAGAGAGAGAGAGAGAGGGGGAGGGAGAGAAAGAGAGAGAGAGAGAGAGAGAGAGAGAGAGATATAAATACGATATGAAAGGGAACGGCGCTTATGAAAAGGCCTATCATTTACTAAATGCCTCTCAAATGTATTATTAAACGCACTCACACACACACACACACACACACATGATAATAAAATTTGTCAAAAAATTATTGTATTTTATGATTCATAACATTTTTCTTATTACTGTCTTCTTATTGAATAATGCAATAAATTCTTGGATTCATTACTTATTTCTCAAATGCGTGGCACTAATGCTGAATGGGGTCACCAAAGGGTACTCACGATTCTCTATGCATTCCCAGTGTCTTATTTGTCAGCATTTGAAACTGTGTCTGAATATAATATCAACACTGAATTCATCAGAAACTTTATAATTTATCGCATTTAATGTCAAACACATGTCTTTGCATATTAAGCAATGAATTCTTTGTTTCAGGAATTCATTTGTTTTATGAATTTTATTAAGAGTTTGTGATTTATTTTTTAACATTTGAATATTTTTCTCTCGGAATAAATAAATATTAAATGTATTTTGTTTGGTAATCGTGAACACTATATAACCGTTATACACAGGAACTTAAATAATTAAACTGAAAAATTAATGCCTATTTAAGTCAATAAAACAAATCTAATTATCAAAAAACTATAATTGAATGGAAATCCTAACGAAAAGAGCAAATAGTCAGTCGTTTCTATCACTTAGTGTTTGGGATTTAGAGTGCGTTTAATAATACATTTGAGAGGCATTTAGCAAATGATAGGCCTTTTCATAAGCGCCGTTCCCTTTCATATCGTATTTATTAATTAATGTCTCGAAAATTATATTCATTAACGTTATGAACAAAAATCCAATATTACTGTGCATTGTGTCATACATTTCCATTAACTTTTGTCTCCCTTTCCTCCATCCAGTGGTTCGCCAACACTTTGTGATCGAAGTGTACGACGAGTTCCCAGTGATGGGCAATACGGCGGTCATGCGGTGTCACATCCCGGCCTTTGTCAGGGACTACCTAACCATCACGGCCTGGATCGAGGAGCCCACCGGCCGGGTAGTGCAGCCCACGGGCACCATCGTTGGCAACCAGTCCTCCCGTTACCTAATGCTACAGAGCGGGGAACTGTACATCAGGAACGTTGACTCGACTTTCAATCACAGGACTTATAAATGTCGGGCACGTAATCGACTCACTGGCGAGACGTTCACCAGCGGTAAATCTAATTATCAAAAAACTATAATTGAATGGAAATCCTAACGAAAAGAGCAAATAGTCAGTCGTTTCTATCACTTAGTGTTTGGGATTTAGAGTGCGTTTAATAATACATTTGAGAGGCATTTAGTAAATGATAGGCCTTTTCATAAGCGCCGTTCCCTTTCATATCGTATTTATTAATTAATGTCTCGAAAATCATATTCATTAACGTTATCAACAAAAATCCAATATTACTGTGCATTGTGTCATACATTTCCATTAACTTTTGTCTCCCTTTCCTCTATCCAGTGGTTCGCCAAAACTTTGTGATCGAAGTGTACGACGAGTTCCCAGTGATGGGCAATACGGCGGTCATGCGGTGTCACATCCCGGCCTTTGTCAGGGACTACCTAACCATTACGGCCTGGATCGAGGAGCCCACCGGCCGGGTAGTGCAGCCCACGGGCACCATCGTTGGCAACCAGTCCTCCCGTTACCTAATGCTGCAGAGCGGGGAACTGTACATCAGGAACGTTGACTCGACTTTCAATCACAGGACTTATAAATGTCGGGCACGTAATCGACTCACTGGCGAGACGTTCACCAGCGGCTCCTCTGGAAAGTTGATTGTGACGGGTCAGTCAGTTTCCATCACTCTCTCCCCCCCCCCTAATACCATACCATTGCCTACCATTCCCTTCCGATAATATCATAACCATTAATGCCTAAGCGCTAAGTCGCGGCACATATGAAGTATTAGTGCGAGTGTTAGACAATTTTGTCACTAAATTATTATATTATATCAAAAATGATTTTTCCCCACTTTTCGTTAGCCTTTTATATTAAATTGTTTTTTGCTTTTTTAGTTTTGCTCTCATTTTTAGGGCTCAAATACGTTATAAATGGACTTTTATTTCTTAAATGTTTGTGTTATGCGATTAACTCATCATATTTTTTATGTGTTTTTCATTTTACTTAACATTTTATTTCGTTGGCCAAAACAAAAGCAAACATTAAATCAAAATTCATTACTCGTTTAGCTTTTAAAAGCAGTTTTCACAAAATTGGATAATTTCTCACAGAATACACGGAATCATACTTAAGAATATATATTTAGTTATTCCCCTGTTTTCTAGCTTTTTATGTTTGTTTTTAAAACAATAAATACTATACTTTAACACAAATAAGTCAAAAAACATTTTATAGTATTAAAACATATTAACGCCTAATAATAATTCATTTCTAAATGGATTTCAAAATTGGTTTTTGACAAATGGGCTTTTGTTTTATGTATGAAAATTGTAAATTCTGATAATTTGTAACTTTGTTTAAAAGTTAGAGCTTTGTCCATTAGTATAAATACAGTATATTTTAAAATGTTAACTATATATATCATGTTTTATAATGTAAGCTTAACTAACGATTTTAAAATCAATTTAGAGGTCATAAATAAATAGCAGACTTTGAATTCAAAAATGCCAGCATTCAATGACCAAGATAAATACTCATTTATTATGTAATTTAATTTAATCAGTCTGCGAAAATCTCTTAGACTACCAGTGCTCTCTTAGACTACCAGTGCTCTTAAGGATTTTCAAGTGATCTAAGCTCACGGAATCATACTTAAGAATATATATTTAGTTATTCCCCTGTTTTCTAGCTTTTTATGTTTGTTTTTAAAACAATAAATACTATACTTTAACACAAATAAGTCAAAAAACATTTTATAGTATTAAACATATTAACGCCTAATAATAATTCATTTCTAAATGGATTTCAAAATTGGTTTTTGACAAATGGGCTTTTGTTTTATGTATGAAAATTGTGAATTCTGATAATTTGTAACTTTGTTTAAAAGTTAGAGCTTTGTCCATTAGTATAAATACAGTATATTTTAAATTTTTAACTATATATATCATGTTTTATAATGTAAGCTTAACTAACGATTTTAAAATCAATTTAGAGGTCATAAATAAATAGCAGACTTTGAATTCAAAAATGCCAACATTCAATGACCAAGATAAATACTCATTTATTATGTAATTTAATTTAATCAGTCTGCGAAAATCTCTTAGACTACCAGTGCTCTCTTAGACTACCAGTGCTCTTAAGGATTTTCAAGTGATCTAAGCGTTTAGTAATTGAAGTGGCATTCAGTCGCTCTTTATTTCAATCACAAGTATTATACATCGCCTACAGAAGCCCGTGGAAAGGCTACAGTCGTTTTGAGGCACCGATAGGTCTTTCTGCAGAGACAAGTAGGTCTCCCTCTTATCAGTGATCTGACGCACAAATCTCTGGCACTGGATGTTGCTATCAATCGGTCGATCAGTGCATGTAATTCACTGACAATTTGTACCGTAAATGCCATTCAACTAACCATTTGTAGTTGAAATTGCAGTAATTATTTCTACCATAACTTATATTGTTATCGGGAAAGCATAATTTATGATTAATCAGTGTAGTTTTTGTGTTTCAATGTTTGAATATTATATGCATTTTTGTGTAATTCTGTAAATACCAGTCAAATGAATGACTGCGAAAAAATCGTGAATTATCTCTATTTTATCGACCATTAATGGCATACAAAATATACTGTATATACAAAAATAAATCTCATTATTCGGTAGGAATTCCACAATTATTTATCCACTGATTAGACTAAACAGTAATTATTTGCCCCTATATTCCGGCACTCAATGCCTAATAATAAATAGCGAAACGTGTATTAAATGCATAAAAATTGTACAGTATTTCCAACGTCTTATGAATAGATTTATGATTACATTGCGAGGCATTCACTAAAATATTGAACATGTGTTGGCACTGGTATGTCATCTAATTTACCAAATATATAATGTCATTTAAGAGCTGATTTATTTTTGCAATGAAATTTGCATTTTAAATGTTTATTTAGTTTGATACCAGGAATATTAGTTTTATGTTATTTTACCATTTATTTATTATCTATTATTATTTATTTTGTAATTACGATATATGTTTGAATTATTTTTAATTTAGCTATTTTTAAATATCCAATGTTTTATTGATTTTTATATCTATTTTTACATTTATTGCTAAAGTTTTATAAATTTATTTTCCACATTATTTACACAAAATACTGTTCAACCAATTGATTGAGAGCTTACAGCTGTGTATTGGGTTTAGGAAAGGGTTTAAAATATTATAAATTTATAAACACATCAAAACTATTTTAATTTATTAGACACATGATTGATATACGAAGTGCTTTATTAGTGTTTTACTTTCAACAAAAACAAATAAAATTTAAATTCATTAATTCATAAAACTTGAAAACCTAACACATGAAACAGGAAAACTACCAAAAAAATAAAAACCTAATTAATATGACCGAAAAATATTCAATTTCCAAAACTTCAAAAACAAAAACATAACTTTAAAAACTAAAAACCAAACGCTAATTTAAATTTGCAAACCCTTTACATACAGAATCGCATTCGTTTGTGAGCCCCAGAATCACAGAATCCAAGTACCAGGTTAACTCTATCAAGGGTGAGACAGTAGCCCTACCATGTTTGGCACAGGGATGGCCACTACCGAAGTACAAATGGTTCAAAAAGGATGGCGTCGAACGCATATCCCTGGCCGCCAACGACCGGGTCGACCAAATGGACGGCATACTCGTCATTAGGGACGTCTCCCCGTCCGACTCCGGTATCTATCAGTGTATTGTGAACAACACGATCGCCGAGGAGAAGGTCGAGACAGAGCTCACCGTCAGAAGTAAGTCCTTCGCCAATAGTTCACTCCATTTGCAGTCATTTAAAGTCAAATCCCGATAACTAATGACTCGCAAAACCATTTGCTTTTTGTGTCTGTGTTTTGGTGTTTGACTACAGATTTAGCATTTGATTTTCGTGTTCACTGTTCAGTTGTGGCATTGATTTTGTGTCACCATTTCATGCACTCCTTTCACAAACTCTTTTTCTACCCATTCATTCACTCGCCTCCCAGTCCTCCTTCGCATTCTCCCCGCGAACTCCAGTTCCCTCTCATTTCCTACTACTCCTCCCCTCCCCTCTCTCTCTCCCTGTCCTTACTTTTGTCGCTATATTTTTTTCAATTTTTATTGTGTCTCCCATTTTATACATGGAAGCGATATTTGGGACCAATTTTTAACATTCCTTTCTTTGACGGATTAAAACCGAGTTTTTTATTCCCTTTTTATGATATAATTTATTAATTCATACATCAATTTCCAAATAAGATTAGACTATCCTTTTGTGTGGTGTGTCTGTGTCTGTACGCAGCCATCACTTACTTTTTGCATAAATAATGTAATTCTTGTGATTGTCTGTCAGACAAACCATTTTTAGTCCATATATTCTAATGGCTGTTCACTCTATTCAAGGCTCAGTTGAGGCCAAACCATAGAGAATGAAGGGATTCATACAAAATGTGATTCATTTTTATTGAGATTCACAGCAGAGAGAGAGAGAGAGAGAGAGAGAGTGAGTGAGAGAGAGAGGGAGAGAGAGAGAGAGAGAGAGAGAGAGATCTTTTTGCAATGGCTATGAATTAAAGTCAATGCTCTGTTAACAGAAAGTTTCATAAATTAAAAAAGTTTTCAAAAAACTTTTTTATTATAATACATGAACTCATCGTTTTTTGCAATGAATTTTATTTGAATGAATAGTTTGGGAACTAATAAAATACTTGTGAGTAGTTTTGCATTTTATATGATATACAGCTGAGGACACGAAATCCTGAAATGGCTTTCAATAATGCTTTTAGATTAACACAACATTAGAGCCAATACTCCTAAAAATGCAATTGAATTGTCGTCTCTAATACCATGGAGTCTCGGATCCCAAACGCTATCATAGATTGTTATCATCTCTTTTTATCGACGGAAAAGGTTTTTCAGACTAAACGCTAAGCTTTTGTAGAAATTAAATATCGAATTCAGTGATGAATTTGAGCCAAACATGCATTTGGTTTGTTGTGAACACAACAAGAAAAATCCTAAAATTACAACTTATTATAGATTTCATGAACAGAAATACTGCCACAGAATCTGTGCTCTAAACGATTGTTTTTCTTATACATTATATACTCTTGTAGTGAATTATCAGCGCTTTTGTTGGCAATACTTTTTCGCAACGAATGCTTGAATTTTTGATTTTGCGGTCAAATCTAACACATAATATAAGTGTTATATAAAACACATTCACAGATATATTATTCACAATAATATTTCTAAACCATATTTTGAATCAATTTTCTCCTTTCAAATCCATAATTCATAAGTTTATTGAAAGGGACGGCGAATCACAACAACTCGCTAAGCCTGTGCTGTCAGTGTTCATATATCGACCGGTGCTGTCGCGAATACCATTCCCATTCACTGGTGACCCCTTAAAACTTGTTCACAACTTATGTCGAGATTTGAAAGTTCATAACAATAGATAGATCTTAATATTATGTATGCAAACAACGGACCAGTCGTTCAATGCATACAATACTCTCTCCACTGATTAAAGCCGTAGAGAGAGAGAGAGAGAGAGAGAGATAGAGAGAGAGAGAGACAGTTGAATGATCAGGCTATTTTGGGGGTTGACATGAGACCAAATGTAAGGTCGAGAGCTGGCTCGTCACGGTTGCCAATACCGTTTGGTGTACTTATTTGTCTATTTCCACTCAATCTTCCTGTCCTCCCTGTCCCACTCTCAATGTGCACCACTACTACTCAAATGTCTTTCTAGTGTCGAGTGCTCTTGATTTTCATTTGCAATGCAAAATCTTTTTTATATACCATCGAGAGACTCATGTTATGAGGGGATCGGATACCACGCGTATTATATAGTGAGCTGACGGTGCAGATTGTGTCGAGCACTTGATAGCAAGCGATAAGTAATTCGTTGGCTTTTCAAACGATAAAAGTTTATTATTTAGTTTTCCTGATAACAGATAAAGTGATCACAATTTTGTTACAAAATTTCTCCATTCCGTAGAGAATATTAGAAGTTTTTTCGACAGAGAATATAGCATTTTAATTCACTAACTACTATAGCTCTCTCTCTCTCTCTCTCTCTCACGGGAGGGGGTGATGACTGGAGGGGAACCGTACGGGAAGTAAATGAAAAGGCATTGAATTTATGATTCAATTGTATTTTAATCGATGACATGAATTTTTTGTGACACCAGAGACAACATACAAGCGCTCATTAAATCACATTCACATCAATAGCTGTCCAGAAGTTTTCGTTTTTTGGGAAAATTCTATATATATTTCTCGTTTCATCTAATTCTCTATTCTCTTGACATCAACAGAATATTCTGTCACAGAATTTATATTTTCTGTGACCATATAGTCACTGGACATCAAACTCCAAGCATTGCGAATCAAAATCAAAGTCAGTGCACACATACAGGGAAAACAAAACGCTTATCAGTTATAGAAATCTCTTATCAGATCTTAATTCAGTGTTGAATATATAAAATAACATAAGACTATAAGACAGTATTTCGTGCGATGAATAAAACAGTAGAGCTTTTTAAGAGATAATAATTTCTACTTTTTTGAGAACAAAAAAGTTTTCTTTTTAAAAGAAATTTTTTCTGGTAATACAATACTTGTCGGAAACTTGTCTTTCCTTAGCACTCATTAAAGAGCTTTTCAGTGAAAATCTCTTTTTGATAAAACATTTTGAATTAATTCCATCTTTCAGTCTCTCTCTCTCTCTCTCTCTCGGCTCATTCATTAACCCGCTGTTTGAAAGCCATTAACAAAAGTGTTTGTTTATAGAATTTATACATTAATTAAAAGTAGTCTTCATTTATAAAACGTCTGACAAATAAAAAGAGAAAAATATTTTCTGTTTGTTTAAGAATTGCTCTTAAAATATGAAAATCAAGAAATAGTTTTGTGTTTTTCGCATAACTGGTAATTCTTCGTCTAAATTGTTATGCTTTTTGTATTTATATATATTGTAAATGTTCGTAGGGGAACTGGAGGTTAATGTAGCGAAATGTTATATAAGACCCAATGGAATGCCCGAAATGTTACGAAAATTTTTTTAAATCAGATAAATAGGATGTAAATTATTGTATCATTTGATTTATATCACACGACTTTTGTATATATTTTTAATGTTTTTACATAAAACTATACATGCATTTAGTTAAATATAGTAAACAATTATATTGTTATTTATGCTATATATATAACAAATGGTTTTTATTATATTAATGTAAACCAATAAAATCTATGTCTATATCTATAGAAACCGTTTGGATATTAAACTCTTTGCTTATGACAACACAAAATCATTTGTTGCCATTCATTGGTTGCAAAATATGTTTTAATATTTTATTCCGATTTGTATTATAATAAGTCACGTAAATTCGTAATGTAGTAAATTAACGTTAAGTACTTTTAACGCATTGTATTAACGAAAAATAAATACTATTTTATGAATTTATTAGACATTAGGTTTTTATTGATTTTACCAATCGAAATATAATAATTTGAACAATTTTTTTTTAAACATTCAAACCTTTTATGTAATACAAAACACTATATCCATGAAAAGCGACACAATTTTGTATTATTTTTATTCTGATCTGAATCCTCGCAACATTTTTCTATGCATACATACAATACATATACATATTCCATAACTTATATATTATATATATTCTGTATATGAATGATATGATGTATAATGTCGTATATTTTTGGCTCTTTTTATTGCTATTTTATTTTTATGGTCCAACTCTTCCGTTGAATACATTATATAAAGTGAATGGAGAACTAGAATAAAGGCATTGCATAGGGATTGGGATTGCATTGGAATAGTAATAGACATATAAGGATAGGAGATAGAGATGCAAACATTCATCTCTCTCTCTCTCTCTCTCTCTCTCTCTCTCTCTCTCTCTCTCAGTCTCTCTCTGCACTCATTCTTCTTATTCTGTTTTTAAATACAGAATTATCAAGAATTTGTTATTTATTATATAATATAATCACCATTCAATGGGAATTATTTATAGCTAATTCTCTCTCTTTCTTTCTTTCTTTCTCTCTCTCTCTCTCTCTCTCTCTCTATCGACGTATTTTTTGTACCAAAAATTTGATTATTGCAATCGGAATACAAGAATAAGAAGTCTTGTATTCTTGTCATGACTTGAAATCCTATTGAAATGACTTTTTCTAGTTTGCGTTGCGTTTGAATAATCCATACAATTTGCTCTCCAATTGTTTACTGTTTACACAATTTCTTCTATATATAGACTAATATTTTCTTATCTAAGACTCAAATCTCGACCAATAAGTGCCTAAAACTTTACTCTTATAAATAAAAATGAGTTATTTATTTGTTTTTGTTTTTTGCCATTCTCTCCCGGCTTATGCTAAACAAATCACTTATCATTAAATTGAATATTAGATTATGAGATTAGATTGTCTGACATAAATCTGGTTATAACTACCAGAAGCTTATTTAAGACATCAATTTGTTTTTATAATTTTAAAAAATATTTTTAAAGTTTTAGACGAAATTATGAAAATTATTATTACGCTATATATTATATAATATATGACATACTGGCAATACTCATAAAAAATATTTAATAAAGTTAGAAATAATTTTTTTATTGCATTATAACATGTATGATATAATATCATATCCATCAAAATATTCAGAAAATATCGTAAATTATTAAACTACTTTGAGAAAGTATAGATATGATATGTTATTTAACGTAAATAAAACATCAATTATTTTTTGTATTTTCTGCCAAAGTATTTATAGAAATATTTCTTTTTATTTCTAAACAAACAAAATCTCAAAATCACTCAAAACCTTATGAACACAATATGAATAACTGAAACGAATATTAAATTATTTATAGATATATTTTATTTGAGAAAACTCTTCATTTAAATATAAATTCAAAAATAAAATTGATTTTATATAACATTTATACTTTTTTTGCCATTAAATTGAATGGTATTTCACGGACTAAATCTTTACATTTATTTTGGCTTATATTCATAATTTCCGATTTTATCCCATGGTTTGGCTATATATCTCAATAGCAATACTTTTTTCAATAAACACATTCATATGCTGTATATATATATTTTTGGAAATGTTTTTATAATACTTTAGACACAATTTCTATTAGAAAAAAGAAATATCTCTTTGCGTTAAAAAGATTTTTGTGTTTGAATGAAAAAATATAATAAATGGTGTTTAAAACCATTGCCTCTAATACTGATGTAGTGTTTAATATAAAGTATACGATTGCATAAGAATGACATTTATTTTATTTTATGGTAGACTTGTTTCCCATTTGATGGACTCATACTTCTCTCCAGTGTTTTATATATAAATTACGGAATCAATAGAATTGTGTTTTTGATTCTTTGATTCCTTGTTTGTATTATTCTCTCTCTATATTTATTTATAGCAATAATTCTTTGATTCATTCAATGGATTAAAACAATTTGATTAATACTTTATTTTGTTTTATTGTGTTTCTCACTCGGCTTTTATTGCCAGTGCCTTAAAATAGACACCACTTTCCCCTCACCACTACACCCCTTACGAACCGATCGATCCATCATTGAATCAATTGATTGAATTTGGTTTTGATTGTGTTATTGCAGTTCCGCTATCCATACAACTGCTACCGGAGCGCCAATCGGTGGACGTGGGAAAGGCAGCCCTTTTTAATTGCAGCGTTTCTGGACACCCGATCAATACGATTATTTGGGAGAGAAATCATCGGAGGCTTAAGTCGGGATTTAACGCCGATATCCGATTCATTGCCAAAGATTTAATACACATCGATGCAGTTAATAAAGAGCACCGGGGAATGTATCAGGTACCTTTCCCCTCCAACCATTTACTATCCCAGTGCTCTGTCACTAGTTTTGCCACTCAATCCTCAATTAACCCCATTTTTCTCATCAAACTAATGGTTATTATTATTGCCGGTCCTTAGCGTTGTATTTATTGTGTTTGTATTGAATTAAAACACGATTTTATTTATCATATTTACCCACTTTGTTATTGTCTATTATCTTATTATAGTGTTTCGCATCCAATGACTTCGAGTCTGCCGGTCCTTAGCGTTGTATTTATTGTGTTTGTATTGAATTAAAACACGATTTTATTTATCATATTTACCCACTTTGTTATTGTCTATTATCTTATTATAGTGTTTCGCATCCAATGACTTCGAGTCAGTCCAGGCGTACGCCGAACTACAATTGGGAGGTATGTATGGGTGCACCATTACCTTTCATTACTATTTTATGTATGCTTTTAGTATATTTAGAAATTTAGATCCAAATAATCGCTTGTTTGCATGAATAAGAAATTTTCGTAAAATGAAAATTTAAATCAAAGTTAATATGAAATAAATTCAATGAATTTTTTCTGTCGGAATATAAATCAGTGGAAAATTTGCGATCTTTTAGTTTTAGTTGAGGTTTAACTCAACCTTTAGACCAGAAATAGAGATATAGTTTTCTATTACTTTCTTTTGTACGCCAATAGATTGCTTTCAATTTTAAATTATAGGAATTCCTAACTTTCTATTATCTCTCAGTCTTATCTAACATATTGTGGACTCAATTCATAGTCTCTATTCCGTGAATTCATGTACACATGTGTGTATGACTTATACATTTCTAATATTTTAGTCGCAAAACCTACCAGTCCTTATCTCGGATGTCATTCATATTAAAAGAATTCAAAGTTTTTAATACCTTTTTTGAAAAGTTTTCACAACAAAAAAATCAAATCAAACGGAAATTTCATTCGGAAACACTCCGGCTATTGGTGTATAGTGTTAGGCAATAGTTTGCATGTTTAAAGAATTCAAAGTTTTTAATACCTTTTTTGAAAAGTTTTCACAACAAAAAAATCAAATCAAACGGAAATTTCATTCGGAAACACTCCGGCTATTGGTGTATAGTGTTAGGCAATAGTTTGCATGTTATATAAGACTTTATTCAATAATATTATAAGATTATCGGCAAGTTTTCAATTCTCCCGTTGAATACAATATAGGGAATAAAAATACATTACGTTTTTTAAAGAAAAGGAAAACTACAAAATATAAGAATATATTAGATATAAGTTTTTGTAAATAAGTTATTCAAAAGAGTACTTTTCTTATAGCTATTGAATTAAACTTAAGTATATTTTCTCTCTCTCTCTTTCTCTCTCTCTTTCTCTCTCTCTCTCTCTCTCTCTCTTTCTCTCTTTCTCTCTCTCTCTCTCTCTCTTATCAGCCCTTATCTCTCGCTTATTTGATTCAGACTTTTATTTTGCTTTTTCGCTTAAAGTTTAGGATTTATCTCAACGCTTTAATTTAATAAAATTGTTTTCTATACACATTTTTTATATCTAATTTAATAATTAAATTTTTCATCTCTTTTATGAATATTTCATATATCATAGAAAAATCATGTTTTAANATTCAGACTTTTATTTTGCTTTTTCGCTTAAAGTTTAGGATTTATCTCAACGCTTTAATTTAATAAAATTGTTTTCTATACACATTTTTTATATCTAATTTAATAATTAAATTTTTCATCTCTTTTATGAATATTTCATATATCATAGAAAAATCATGTTTTAAATTATTTTTTAATCATTTAATGTATTTTTCTATAATGGAAAGCGTTTTGAATATTATTAAATGCATAATAAAACTGAATATAAATAAAATAATATTCTTTCGACAGAATTTCATGCAAATTATTTTAAATTATTTTTTAATCATTTAATGTATTTTTCTATAATGGAAAGCGTTTTGAATATTATTAAATGCATAATAAAACTGAATATAAATAAAATAATATTCTTTCGACAGAATTTCATGCAAATTATTTAATAATATTCAGGATTTGGTATTCAAATAAGTTATAAGTTATTACTTAGAGTTATATAAATTACATATCAATAGCGGAATGCAATTATTTCTTACATTAACTTAACATCCATTTCAAGCATTTTTCTAATGAAATTCATTTGTATTGACAGAATAAATATCGTAATATATATACTAATAATAATACGCTAATATTAATGACTAATGAAAATAAATCTATACTTAAGGAACTGTAGTGATTGTTATGATACTATGATACTAGTATATAAGACATAAGTAATATCCATATGTAAAGCAAATATCAATTCAGTATAATTAATATTAAACAGACGATCCTCCGGAGTTTCGTGAAGTATTCCCTCAGCAAACATTGGACCCTGGTCCTTCACTATCATTAAAGTGCATCGCCGGTGGAACTCCATTACCGCAGATCACGTGGCAATTGGACGACTCACCCATTCCTGAGAGCCTTAGAGTTCGTTTCGGGGATTACGTAACGAAAGTAAGCGTCAAATGCTTGAGTCGATTGACTTTAGGACTCGGATTACAGAATAAATACAGAATAAACTCCAATATAAACACAGAATATATCAATATATATATATATAAGCTGTATATAGACTACTGAATGACTAATACTTATTCTTTGTCCCTATATTTGCCATATGATGTGTACCTAAAGGACGGACTCGTTATTAGTTATGTGAACATAAGCGAAGTGCGAGTCGAGGACGGCGGCGGATACGCCTGCAAAGCGGATAACGGTGTGGCCAGTATTGAACATTTCGCCAAAATTAATGTTTTGGGACCACCAGTGGTGAGACCGATGAGGAATATTACAGTTGTCGCCAGCGAGCCATTAATTGTCAGATGTCCTGTCGGGGGATATCCACTGGAAAGCATTACTTGGGAAAGAGGTAATGGTGCTCGTCCTGAATACCAACGACTAATGCCTACTTTACTTATCCATGTTATTGTCATTCAATGAGCTTTTTGCGACAGAATAAGGACTATATTTCACTTTTTAAGACGCTTTTAATACATGAGACAAAGCTTTTTATAGACATTTTAAACATTATGTTGTTTGCGATAGAAATACAATATTTCCGCTGAAAACTCGAAAGAAAACTTTTTTAAAAATCACTTTTCTTTTACAGAAAAAGGTGAAAACAGAGAGTAAATAAATAGCTAGTGAATTTGCCAATCGACTCCGAATTCTATAGCATTGTTTAGCATAGTAACCTGAATTTTAACTCTCAAAAAAAGAAATCCTTAAAATGATTTATAAATGAAAAAACAGTTAAACTCCGGCGAAAAAACTCGCGATACAAATGGCACTACAAATGAGTACTAAAAATACAATAAAATATATGAAACACTTAAATAAATATCAAAACAGTATTAAAGTTAAGTTGTTTAGGATTTTATACTACCGTTTCGAGACAAATGAACGAACAGTTTATACGTCTTCATCGCAAACCATTACTAATGATATACTTCTTCTTTATCTTAATAGCGGGCCATCACTTGCCGTACAATCACCGCCAGAAAGTGCACGACAACGGCACTCTCGAGGTCTACCACATCGAGAGGGCCACCGATGAGGGCCTATACACCTGTGTCGCCAAGAATAAGAAGGGACAGACGGCTCAGAGCACTGTCTACGTCCGCGTCCACAGTATGTCCAAACCATACGTTTATTACCATTGAGTTCAATATTTTTCGTTTAATATTTCCCACTCTATTCTCTTCACTCTTTTACTCTTATTTCATGGATATTCTGCTCTCTCTCTCTCTCTCTCTCTCTCTCTCTCTCTCTCCCCCGTCAATCAATTCGCTCTCTCGTATCATATCTATTGATTTATTGCTCTTCCAATCACTTCCTAAACGACACTAAAAATGCAATATTTGTGTCCAAAACAGTTAAGCCAGTGATCGAAGCGTTCGCATTCCCGACGTCCTTACGTGAGGGCCAGCGCTCGTCCATCTTATGTACGGTCAGCAGCGGAGGTATACAACACGACACCCTTTCCTCCCTAACCATTCAATAGGCATTAATAACACGAGAGAATCCCAATATTAATGATAAATAATTTTTTCTCTCGTCGATAATGAATCACAACTTTTTGCTCGTATAATGCATTTGTCGGTCCGTTATCTAACATATACTCATTCATTGTCTGTTTTCTATTGTCTGCCACCCGTCGGTGCTCAACCTCCCTGTGCGCGCACACAGATATGCCAATTACCCTTCAGTGGTTTAAAGATAATGTGCCAATTAGCCAGCATAAAGGGGTCCGGGTTAATGAAGTGGTCGATTACTCATCCACGTTATTATTCGAGTCATTAACACTGGACCATAAGGGCAACTACACTTGCATCGCGACCAACACTGCCGGCACCGTTAGCCACACGACCTCAATGGTCATTCACGGTATACACAATTAATCCCATCCATACACACTAGACATACCATACGGTCCACGAAACACACAATCACTGTCTCTCTCTCTCTCTCTCTCTCTCTCTCTTTCTTTCTCTCTCTCTCTAAACAAGTTATTTACTGTCTATTGAGTTGTAATGATAGGGAAAAAGCAATTTATTTCATTAAATG